TATAATATATATATATATATATATATATATATATATATATATATATAGATATACATATTTGTATATCATTATACTGGTATCAATGTATCAATACTTAAATTGGTTATTATTCACACATTTTCAAATAAAATTTTCATATAAACAAGTATTTTGAAAAATTAATCGAGTCATAATTTTGTTTAAATTTAGTATAAAATATTTCATCCATAAATTAATATAGGATGAATTATTTAAGTTAAGACTTCTCAAAACATTAGGTGGTATCATTGTATATATGTATAGTTCAGAGTAACGTTTACCTATGAAGATCTGTGACAAGGTTACTAAGGCCGGCAAATGAAGAGGCAATAGTGTTGAGTTCTATTTGCAGAAGTGAATTACTCTTTTCATCAAGCATATAATCTGAGCGATGTAACCCCAATCGTATTTCCTACAAATTTTTGGCATAGCACACAAATAAAAATACCATTTATCAATAAAATTGTAATAAATATATTAAAAAAAAGTGTATTTTAAACTTAATTTAATTTCGTAAATTCGTAAAATCGATTAGTAAAATAAGATTATATGAAATTATAAATAACGGTTACCTCTTTTTTGTTAATATGTAGCATGGTGGAATGAATGTCCAAAAGTTTAGAGGTGAATTCATCCGCTTCTTTAGTTCTGCGTTTTGAAAGATGCACAAAAATATATGAACACACGAAATAATAACAGTGAAATGTATGCAGAACGTAGCAAGAAAAAGAGTGGAAGAAGGGCTAACCTGGAGAGAGAGTGTTGGAGAAAGGATGCATCCAAGCTAACACGATCAACGAGTTCATTGAATATCGGAGCCAATTCGGAGGCTTGTCTCCACTGGTTTTGGGGAAACGGCGTCGGTAACAATGCAATCGGAGCATGCACCAATCCTACGCCGGGAACGCTCCCTGATCTCTGCATCCATTGATTTTAAATTAATAAAAAAAAAACTTAAGATCTGTTTTTACCTTAAGCCAATTACACGATACCTTCTAAACAAACAAAGGAATTAAACAAATTACAAAAGAAAATGACGGAAGAGTGACCTGAACAGACTTATCACCGACGACGAGGCCATGGAGAGAGCTCCAAACGAGAGCGTCATAAGCGATGGTGTGAAGAAGTTGTTGATCGAGACGGTGGTAGTCGAAGAGACTCATAACGGCTAATGATTCTGCGAAGGAGTAATCTTCTGTAAAGAATTGTGATCACCACTCCCGCGTCCACTGCAAAGGGAAAATAAGAAATTAAGAGAAATATATATAAATTATATTATATTATTTTATATGCAGTATACATCATAGAAAAGATTTTATCGAGAAAGAATATTTCATGCTAATATTAAGTTTTCTTTCCTATTATTTTATTGACTTTTTAATCTACTAATTACATAGTATTTAAGAATATTATTATCAGCATGATTTTTATGATTTGTAGATACGATAATATAAGTACATATTTTCATTAGATTATCGAATCATGATATATGTTAAATATTATTTATCATAAATTATATCGCATTATTTTATATGCAGAATATTTTATTTTATATGCAAAAAATATTATAAAAAATATTTTAGCATTGCAATTATTGTATTAATTTTTTATTTTTAGAAAGTAGCCTATTATTTTATTGACTTTTTAATCTACTGATTACATGGTACTTGAGAATGTTATTATCGGTATGATTTTAATGATTTGTAGATCAAAACTTATAATATAAATACATATTTTCGTTACTGTAATTACAACAAGTCATTAGTGATGTAACAATATCTAATGATATTCTCCTTTTCTATATTCACATTTTTATTTTATTTTTTATTGTATTTTAAAGTAAAAAAACCTTGTAATAATAGATAAATGGTGCAGGTTTAATATTTCTATTTTACTTTCTTAAAATATAACGAAGTTTTTTTTTCAATGGTAATTTATAATACAATTAAATGTTTTTATTCAATTTAATTTTCAATTTAGATATGCATTTTAATTCATATTTATATTTAAACTAAAAAATATGGTAAAATAAAATGTTACAAGAAAATAGGAATAAAAATAAATTAAAGAATACAGACTACACAAAAATATTATTGGCTCCTTTACTACAAAATAAGATAAAGGATATTATAATATAAATATTCTATTTTATGTATAATTATAAGTATTTTTTATTGTAATATATCATATACTCACGAATCATTTTTTCCTTCACAAATCAATATCATTAATTTTTTTACAAGAATCCTATTTTTAAAGTAAAAATTAATAATTATAATGTGTAATATAAAATACTTTTTATTATTAATATTTGTCTTTTAAGTATACATTTTGGTTGTATATATGCATTTATATTCAATAAAAAAAATATTTTTTAAATAATCATTTTGTATAATTAAAACTAGATAGAACATATGGGAATATAAACTTATTTAAAGATTAAAAAAATATCAAATATTGATAAATAAGGTTATATGCATTAATATATTAGTATTGTCTGCTTATAAGTTTGAGTTTTTAAGGTCAAGGCTTGGTGGAATTAGTTATTTTGTTTCTTATGTTTTATAATGGTGCGCTGGTTTTTTTCAAGCTTTAAATATTATAATATTTTTCATTAATAAATAAACTTTGTTTTTGTTTCAACAATGTTTTTCTTTTTGTACTTTACGTCATTTTTCTGTAAGACTCTAATAAACTATTTGTTTATTAAAAAAATCATGACAAACAGTTAGATTATGAATTCATGATAATATATAATAATAAAATTAAAATTTTTGTTTACTTACCACATATTTTAATTACAATAAGCCATTAGATAACTTAACAATATCTAAAAATATTTTCTATACTTATTATGAAAAAAAAAATCTAAACAAATTTATGAAAGTAAAATATTAAATCACTTGTATAATTATTTATTAATAAAAGCTAAATTATCTCACTTATTAACACAACAATTTTTTTAAAGAAAAATATGAAAAACTTTGAACGTCACAAGCATACAAAAATACAAAATAACATTATTTATCTAAGACTCTAAGAAACTATTCCTTAATAAAAAAACAAATAGTTAAATTATTATTCACAATACATAATATGTAATAGTAAAATTAAAATGATTATTTACATACCACATTTTTAATTACAATAAGCCCCTAGGTGAGATAAGAATATCAAAAACAATAGTTTACACACATATTTATTTTAATTTTATTCTACTCTAAAATTAGAAAACCTAATAATAAAGGATACATATTTAATATTTCTATTTTACTCTTAATTATTATATTTTTCTTAAAATATAATAAAGACACGAAGTATATTTTCTTACCGCTAATTTATAATACAATTACATGTTTTTTTCAAGTTAATTTTCAATATTATATGCCTTTTAATTCATATTCATATATAAACTAAAAAATATCGTAATATAAAATGTTACATGAATATAGAAATAAAAATGAATTAGAGAAACTACATACTACAAAATATATTATTGATTCCTTTACAACAAAATATGATCAAGATGTTATAATATAAATATCATATTTTATGTATAATTGTAAATATATTTTTATTGCGATATATCAGATACTCACGATTTTTTTTTTCGTTCACAAATCAATGTTACTAATTTTTTTACAACCTATCATATTTTTAAAGTAAAAATTAATAATTATAAAATGTAATATAAAATACTTTTTATTATTTGTATTTCTATTTTAGCTATACATATTTGTTGTATATGTACATGTATATTCACGAAAAAAATATTTTTTACAGTAATCATTTTGTATGATTAAAATTAGATAAAACATGAAAGAATATAAACTTATTTAAATTTATGTAATAATACATTAGTAGTTTCACTATTTTCTATTGTTTTGGATGCAGAAATATTTATATGGTAAAATTATGGGAATTATTGTTGAGTATTTTTAGAAAATTTACTTTAAACTTGTTTGGTTTGAAAAATGATTATGAATTATTATGTAATTTTTTAAAAAGAAAATTGTTCTTTGAATTTTTTTATAGAGATAAGATAAACATATTTAAAGATATGTAAGAAATGGAGTTTAAGTATTATTCTAGGACAATTGACTTTTTGATTTATAAAATTCATTACAAATGAAATGATTGCTTCTTCTTTTTATAATAGACATAAACTTCTTTTATTTAGGGTGGTTTAATTTTGAAAATTTTATTATGTATTTTTTACCAAAATTTGATTTGATCTCATTTATTTATTATTATTTTAATAATGTTTTTCATATGATAACAAATAATTGGTGTATAAAATATTCATAATTATGTTAAAATATTTATAAACATTTACATAAAAAAAATATTGATATGCACTTTTTAAAATTTAAAACACTTTTAAAATATATTGAAATTATAAAGTATGCTTTCAATTGTTAGAATAAGAACTATTGTCCTAATTATTATAGACAAAATAAGAGATTCAAACTCTCATTTCAACCTTTGGAGAGAATTTGTATGACTAGCCAATAAAGAAAAAATGGTTTAGACAAGCCAATCGTTTCTATAACGGCTGAATTCGTCTGATTTGATTTTAAAAAAAAATCGCATGCACTAATGTATATAATTCTTAAATATACAAAAAATTAATCAATAAAAAATACTTTTTCTAAACAAAAAATCTGTAATTTCATAATTTTTTATAATATATAACATGGTGACAACTTCAAACTTTTTGTTTTTAAGAATCTCGTCATTGACTAATTTCAAAACAAGCCAATTAAACAAATACCTGACTTGTTAGCATGCCCTAGTTACTATTTAATGGATTTGATCATGTTGATGTTCCTTCTTCCTAGGAGCCGCTTCTTTAAGAATACAAGCTCTATCCTCGTTTGAAAGTGGACCTTGTTGGTAAAATATGAAAAAGTCGGGTTATAGAAAAAACATTATGTAAACCATGCATTGATGTAATGTTTTGAATTACCCTGATAATTTCAGGTATATAGTGTTGGCTCCTTCAGGTCAGGTATAGACTATCTAACACTGCAAAACCGGCTGCAACCCCACCTTCATCAGATGATGATATTTTTGTACGCACCAAATAACCGCTTTGTTTGTTCATGATAACCCTATTCTTATTTCTGCAATTTCATATTCAAGTGTTACACAAATTTAAAGTAACCATGACAGAAATGTGGCCAAGTAATGTACCTTAAATAAGTACCGAACACACCAAGTTCTGAAACTACACGATCTTTATGCCAACAACCATTACGCATCAAAATTGCTGCAGAAACAGATGGAAATATCCTCTGCATAAGGATGTAAGCTCCATCTTCTTGAGAACCTGCTTGCTGCAATTTTAGGAGGGTTTCCCTCACATCATCACCGTAAATATTGTTTCCTGAAAAGTAGGTATAGTTCGTTAGATACGTTTCTTCCACTTAGTAGGCTGAATCAAAGTTTAGGTGGTATAAGACCTCCTCCTTCTCTTTGGGGTTTCATCACAAATAACTCCGGCTTTTCAATTGCTTTTCTAACAATGTTAGGGTCATCCAAACACCACAACCCAGCAAAGCTTTTACGCAGTTTGGCAATGTCATCTTTGCTTTCAAGGAACCTGCTTAACTCAAGGTTTAGTCATAGAACCGCTTATTTTCTAAAATAAAATTAGGGCGGGGGGAGGCTTGGATTATTTATTATAATCAGAACGCCTTTAGCATATATAATAAAATTCGATTTCCCTAAACAAAAAATATGAAGTATGAGTGTAAGACGAATTATCATCCATATAATTTATTTCCTTCTTGAACTGAAGAAGTACAGTAGAAAAAGACAATAAAAGTCCAAGAATAGTGGATAGGAAATCTTCCATAAAAAGTAAAAAATGAAGCGTGAAAGCGAAAGCCAGAACCAACAAGGCACATTAATTCAAACCTCCTCATTCTAGTTTCTTAGTTTCCGCAGAAACCAATCAATCCCTCAGATCAACATCTAATCTTTCCTGCAGCCACTATAAAAGAATTTTTTTTGAATTTACATCTCTACCATTAGTGCACTGAATCCAGAAGACTTCTTCCAATTGACTAGTCTACTCTCTTCTCTTTTCGTCAAAACCTTCTAGAAGTAAGATCTGCTCTGTAGAAAACATGAGCTTTTGATAGCAAGATCCCTCCAGCCTATGCACTAATATTTTCATTAAAAAGCCTCACATTCCCAAACCTTCAAACTATTCACTCAAGAAACTTTATTATGATTCAAAACTTAGAAGAATCCAAAGATAATCGTTAATCATACCTCCTTGCCATCATTGACTAACAATGATTGCAACAGCATCGTGAACGATGCCCCTGGATCATATATTACTTTTTAAATTTACTTTACCGGACATTTAAAACAAAAACCTATCGTTCCTAGAGGATACAAGATATCGTGACCAACCAACTAAGAAATGTATGGACGGGAAGGCAGATCCTGAAGGATAATCCCATTTTACATGATAACTCTCAATTGTTCAATCGCACATTCTTTTAAACACAGTGTCGATGAATTGATCAACTGCTTTCAATGCATAAAGGATGAAATTAGCTTGGAAGATATGAAGAATTAGAAGATACCTCTCAAGCACACCAGGCTTTGCAAGTTCCTGCTGAATCTTTTTGGTGCCAGCCAAATGATAGGATATGGAAGGACATTTGATGGCAGAAGATTGTTCCATCAGTAACCTAGCTCTCCATTCCTACATATATTGAGCATCCCAAGCCATGATTTTGCAAGATAATACAATCGTGTAACAAGGAGCAATATTATGGTAAAAGATAATTCATGTAATCGAAATTAAGTGGAGAAGAAGAAATGTAAATCAGATTGTTATTTTTGTGGGATTCAGCCAATTTGTAAACAAGGCACTAAAGTATTGAAATCGTTCAGCCCCCAACTACCCCATTAGATGAATTATTTGTGGCAAATTGCAGTAACTGCAAATCCCAATGTAAATATAGTAAGAGCATATCACAAAGGAGTAGTTAATTGGGCAAGTGAAATGAATGGAAAGCAATGGATGACATTCAGACAAAGCATAAACCAAAAATGAGACAAATCCCCAAGAAATAGTAACCTTGGGGAAGAATTCCTCATTGTATTAATTGGGCCAATAAATAGGTGCCTAAATAATTCAGGAAAAATGTAATCCTCTCAGCTCTCTCCGCCAGCTTTACTTCACTTGACATGCAACTCCTTTTATCATGTGAATCTTAAAAGAAGTTTAGTAGCCTAAAGAATAATTGAATTATTGACTATACAGTACAATTTGCTAACAGTAGTGAGCGAGAGCCACTGCTTATGCCACATAGGTCATATCTCAATGTTTAAATAAAGAAGTTACGTAATAGAAACCAAAACAGATGTTTCTACCATAGAAAAAACACGGTTCTTATGAACAGAAAAATGGTGATTTCAAACCACTCACTGATTCTGAAGGATAGTCATCTGGTGTATAGCCAGCCCGGAAATAAATGACTGAAATAGCTTGTCCATTCCTGCAAGTTCCAAGAAATTATCGTCCTCAACAATTAGAACCTTAACATGATTAAATCACTAAAATATGGCTGAAAGTTTTATTTATGGCTAAATGTTACATACACTGAAAGTGTTCCATCGGGAAGAATTTCTCCTTCTTGATCAACTTCTGCTAACGTCTTTCGTATAGTTGAAATATTATGCGTGCTAATTAGCTAAGGACAGTAACAACGAAATAGTATGTACTAAGTATAGAAACTTCTAGTGGTTTTCTTTACGAAACTGATGAAAGCATCCTCGATATCACATGTAATTATACAAATAAAAGAGACTGCCCTGCTATATGGGAATAAAACGAACGTGTTTCCTTTTGTATTGTAATTAAATACAACTCTAAGCAAAGGATATTTTTCTCTAAGAACAGCAGAAAGAAAATGCTGGTCGTACATGTTCCGTTCTTCAGCCTGAACCACAATCATGATCACCGCCCTGGACGGAAACGTCAAAAAATATATTAAGGAACCGAAACCAGCAGCAGAAGAGCTAGAGAAAGTTAAAGGAAATTTTTTTTCTCTGAACTGACCTCGGGTTGTTATACTCACTCCAAGCTTTAGCTAAGGCCTCTGCATACTGATTGACGGCATTGTTGGCAGGGATGCTTTTGGAATCTAGTCCAAGCAAATTTCCATGGCGAGAAAGTATGTATCTAGAAAATGACCAACTAATATAAAGATATTTCTACAAATGAATAATTCTTTATAACGAAAATATATTTCCACCAGAGTTCTTATAAGTAATTACAATCATAGTATTAATCCGGTATAAAAACACAAAGTGAAAACCCCCAAAAGTGCTATTGCATAACAGAAGTAGCTATATAAAGGATCATATAGGTACAAGATAAATAATTTATACTACACATAAAAAGTAGTTAAAAAAATTAGCAAAAACTGAATACTTTCATAATTAACTTGTAAAAGTTTCATCCTAAGACAAAATCACTATCAATATCAGTCCTATGGCAATTAACAATGTGAGAGCAATGAAAACACGAGTATAAAGATTAAAAAGAATGATGGAATTTAGAGATAGAGACTACCATCGGAAAATAAGTGGATTCTGAGAAACTATAAAGTCAACACAAAAAGGAAAAGGACTTCGTAACACGTTGAGTCTCTATGTTGCAATTTTAGTTTTTTATGTATTTCTTAGACAATTAATTCTCCCTTATTTTAAAACTAAAAAGATTTTCTCAATCCTTTGATTTTCTTCTAATTAAAATTATCAAACATCACATCCTACTGAAAGAATTTGCAAATTGAATCACTTAAATTTGTTCTAATTCTTTTACTCAACTCGTCAACCATAATACCAAATTATACCATAAATTTTTTCTTATTCAAACCCTCATCTTTTTATATACTATAAAATCCTTCGAATTTATCAAAATTGTATTAAATTAGGCACTCCCTACTCTTTACAATTATATTATTTCTTAAAACCTAAAACATTTGACAAAAAAAATAAGACTTCGAGGATTTTACGTGGAAGAAAATCATTAAAGGCCCATATTTACTTTATTTGAAGCAAATGAAGAACATTAAAAGAGAAAAAACTTAATGTGATCGCCTGTAATTTAAACTAAGGACACCAAAGTTTCAATTAAGTTAAATAGAAAAGGAACATAGAAAAGACCTATGGGTTTACAATGAACAGATTCAACAACGAGCTGCATAGGTGAACGGGTCAGCCAAGGACATTACTGAACAGTGGTCAGAGGGTGGACGACAATGCTTTTCTTTGGTGAGAAGAAGGATGCATAAAAATGCGTGAGAAACAGTAAATGAAATCCCACCTATTTTTCTAATTATTTTTTCACATTGCTTTTCTCCTCCTATTAGTATTTTCATCCTCCCCATCCTTCCCCGAAATCTCAACCAAACACCACTCGAGTTCAAAACAAAAGATGGGCATTTTTCTCTAATGATTGGCAAAATCTCTCAAACCTTAATGTTTCCTGATACCAAAAACACACAAGAATGTCCTAAAAGAATGAGGTTCGAAAACTCATAATTTAGGGGAATACATATGATTTGTACAGTGCTATCCCTGTTCACCCGCGGTGGCTTCCAATATTCCACACAACATATAAACATAAGTAACAGCATTGAGAGTTCGGTATTTAACTTAAGCAAACCCATGTATAGCTGCAATGAAACAATTAAGTGCTTCAAGATGATAGCATAGTATGTGTAATTTGCAGCAATACTTACCTATGAAGTTCAGTCACAAGATTACTCAGACCGGCAAATGAAGAGGCAATAGTGTTCAGTTCTATTTGCAAAAGTGATTTAGTCTTTTCATCAAGCATATAATCTGAACGATGTAACCCCAATCGAATTTCCTATTAAAATTTTGGCGGAGAAAAATTCATCAACAAATCCGTTTGACTCACTTCATCAAGAAAAGTAAAGATGAGGTGGAAAAGATTATTATGGCCATGTTTAGATAATTTTTTTCTTAAACACTTGAAGAAAAAAATAAAAAGTGAAATGAACAAAAATTCTGTTATATATTAAAATCAGTTTATCCACTTCACCTTTTAGAAAATCACAGGACAGAAGATGTAGAAAAATATTTGATTTAGTTTTTCCTTTATAAATTTATCCAAATAAGAAATATAAGATTTCTATTTTCTATATACCAACGTTAAACTTACAGTGACGCTCTAATTTCTGAACAATCTAATTCCTATCTCTCCGAATGAAAGAATATGAGCACAAAATGAGTTCTTTTGAAAGATATTTAAAACAAAAACAAAATAAAAAAGAAACACTGATCATTCAGACACAATTACCTCTTTCTTGTCAATCTGTAGCATCTTGGAATGAATATCCAGAAGTCTTGAAGTGAACTCATCCGCTTTCTTAGTTCTGCATTGAGAAACAGAAAAAGAATCTCAACACACATACCCTACTACGCTGTACCAAAACTCAAGTAGCGGTGCCACTTGCATGCATGCACAAGATATCTAACAAGAGACGATAGCACCGCAGAATTTGCAAGTATGTAACCCGGAGAGAGACTGTTGGAGAAACGTTGCATCCAAGCTGATCCGATCAACGAGTTCATTGAAAATAGGAGCCAACTCAATCGCCTCGCTCCAGTGGTTTTCCGGAAATGGCGTGGGTAACAAGGCAACCGGAGCATGCACCAATCCCACGCCAGGAACGCTTCCCGAATTCTGCAATCAAATTCAAATCGAAGAATTCGTAATGGCGACCGTTACAAAGAACATTAGACGCCAATTTAGGGTGTGATAGTTAACGAAACGTAACGCAGTGAATTAAAAGAAAAAAATGTTGAGATTGACCTGAACGGATTTATCGGCAACGAGGAGGCCGTGGAGAGAGCTCCAAACGAGGGCGTCGTAAGCGAGGGTGCGGAGAAGTTGTTGATCGAGGCAGTGGTAATCGAAAAGAGGAGAGTGTTGGAGTGGAGTTAGAATGAGAGGTTCAGGGGGAGACATGACGAGGTTGGGGGAAGAGGAGACGAAAGGGACCGATGGAGAGTGGCGGCGGACGGCGGAGAGAACGGGGAAGGTGGTGGATTTGGAAGCAGAGAAGAAGGGTATAGTCTCCCAACATGCAACGCAACCAATGCCTGCGCTCATTTTCGCCTTTTTCACTCTCGTTCGTGGGTACAAACAATGAAATAATAAAAAAACAATAAATAGTTTCTGATTTTTCCTTAAAAAATAAATATTTTTAGAAACTGAAATAGCAGTAAGTAACGACTATTTTTCTTTTATTTATTTATTACTAAAAGAGAGAGTTGACTTTTGACTCTCCCTAATTAGTATAGTTCTAAGGTGACACCTTTTGGAGAATAGGAATCTGTGCGAGCATTTTCTTTTCCAATTTGTTCTTTTTCGAGTCCCTTTCAGTGGGCCATGGCTCGTAAATGGTTTTTTTTTTTCACGTATGTTTTTTCTGGTTATGTGAACTCTAAAAAACTGAATTTAGTTTAAATTTAAAGATGTTTTCTTATTCATGAAACATAGTCTTATTTTATTTTTGGTTGTTATAATTTTTTTTCTTACTTCTTATTTTATTTTAGACTCTCCAAAATATTTGTATTTTGTGTTTTGTCCTTACTATACATGGATTACTTGTATATTCTATTTATTGATTTTTTTCTTCAAAATGAAATGAATATTATAAAACCTAAATAAATAAATATTTTACAGACTGAAAAAATAACAATAACCAAAATTAGAAAAAAAAATACAGGATAAGAAGCAAAAGACAACTAATTTTTGAAAACTAAAAATAAAATTACTCAATTGACCCAGTTTATAAAAATATTAAAAAAATGACAAGCGATATTTCATTAATATAAAATCATTAGCAAATTAAAAATTAAAATATTTTATACCATTTTTATTTCAAAAAGAACACACGAGTTACAATTTTCTATAACTTGGATTTTATATAAAAAAAAAACTAAAATGACATTTAAAATGGCTTGTTTGGATCTTAGAAAATGGCTTTTAATGCAGAAAAAGAGGTTAATGAGTGATCTTATTGCAGTCACATCACAACTTAACTTCAAACCATTTTTCTGAATATGTAATGCTGTGGATTCTCAATTTATTAACATTTTTTAGTATAGTTGAATGCCTCTTAAGATTACTGCACCAAATTTATAAAAAATATATTACAGCTTTTAATTGGCTAATATACACCAATATTTGATTGTGTTCAAACAAAATTTATATGACTTAATAATCTATACCAGGAATTATTGAAAAGGACAGGTTAAAACAGTTCAATAACTTTATTGGTTAGAACTAATGTTGTAGATGAGTACATTTGATAAGCAGACACCATCCCGTAGGAAGAGCTAAAAGATACAACAATGCATCTTCTCTTCTTTTACTGTTTTAGGAGAGAAACAAACACAATCAGGAGTGCGGAAACTAATGGTGATACATGTAAAACATTCATAATATTTTGAATTGAAGTGATCTTGGCTCCATCAAGTTAGGTATACAGTGTCTACCACTCCAAAACCAGGTAAAACTCCACCTTCATAAGATGATGATACTTTTGTACGCACCATATAGCCACTTTCCTTATTTATGATAATCTTATCCTTGTTCCTGCAAATTTCAGTACATCAGTTTCAAGGATTTGCAAATTTAAGCACAGAAGAATGATAAATATGTAGCTGAGCAATGTACCTTAGATAAGTACCAAATATTCCAGCTTCTGCAATCACATGACCCGTACTCCAATTACCATCACGCACCAAAATTGCTGGAAAAGTGGCTGGAAATATTCTCTGCATGAGGATGTAAGCTGCATCTTCTTCAGAACCAGCTTCCTGTAATTTAAGGAGGCTTTCCTTCATATCATTACCATAAATGTTGTTTCCTGAAAAGTAATTACACTTCGTTATGTAAGTTTCTCTTCCAGGCGTTTTTTCTAATGAAGTGTTGAATCAAAGTTTAATACAAGACCTCCTCCTTCTCTTTGCGGCTTCATCACAAATAACTCTGGATTTTCAATTGCGTTTTTAACAATATCCGAGTCTTCCAAACTCCACAACCCTGCAAAACATGCACGCAATTTGGCTACGTGGTCCTTGTTTTCGACAAACCTGTTTAGGGTTTTGAATCAAGGATTTTAGGAAGAGATATCAACCATAGAAACAAAATATCATTAGAATAAATGAAAAAATTAGTCACAGATCAACTTATTTGCTAGGAAAGAGCAATTTGTTGTTATACTAAGGATTGGAGTTCTACTGGGCTATTGTCTATAACAAAAACCTATTGGCCTTAGGGTACAATTATATCATGCTTAGCCAACTAAGTAAGGCATTGATTGGAGAGCACCCTGAAGGATAAAATCTTAAGACAATAATAACTTACAATATTCCTTTTTACACTTTTCCTTTAGGCATAGTAGCTGTGAATTGATCGACAGCTTTATAGAAGCATAAAGGATGGAATAAACTTGGAATATATAAGAATATTAATCAGAAGATACCTCTCAAGCACACCAGGTTTTGCAAGTTCCTGTTGAATCTTTTTGGTGCCAACCAAATGATAAGATATTGAAGGACATTTGATAGCAGAAGATTGTTCCATGAGTAGCCTAGCCCTCCATTCCTACACATTTAGCTAGATATACCCAAACCAGAAGAACTCGTTAATGTTAAAAAATAATGCAACTTTAGCAGGAAAAATATTATGGCTGAGAAAATCCATGGAATAGAAAGGACGAGGTAGGTAAATACAAAAGTAAAACAAATTTTGCTGGTTTAAGATATAATTGAGCTAGATGTACAAAAAGTAAAATGAAAGAGAAAGTCTATACACTGTGATGTAATGAAGAAGAAACTGTTACACTAACCAATCTCAAATGAATTTTGCTTTTGAAACAAACGTTATAGGGCCCAAGTAATAGTATTCATCATTACTTTTCTTCTTAATATAAAAGAAGTCAGGTTACCAGATAGGGGGATCAAATATAAGTTTTCAATACAATATCATTTCCTAATAGTAGTGAGATATACTGGGTTCAGAGAATTTATTCTTTACTAATTATTGAAAAAGGAGTTATAGTCAATAGAAAACAAATAGAGATGCTCCTATGTTGAAAAGTCAGTTTTTCTCTGCTAAAATACTGAATTCATGAATCTCACTGATTCTGAAGGATAGTCTTTTGGTGTGTAGCCAGCCCGGAAGTAAACAACTGAAATTGGTTGTCCGTCCCTGCAAGTTCCAATAAATTATACTTCTCTACTGTCAGAAATGAAATATAATTAAACCAAAAACTTTTAGAAGAAAGTCAGATTTTCAAGATAAAGTTTACATACACAGAAAGTGTTCCATCTGGAAGAATTTCCCCTTCCTGATCAACTTCTGCCAATGTTTTCCTTATGCTTTTAATATGATACGTATTATAAAGCTAAGGAAAATAACTCTTACAACCCAAAATGTAATGAACATAAAATTTTGGTAGTTTTCCTTACAGAACATCTCTATGTATCCTTTGATATCGCATTTTATAGCCCTAATAATACAAATCAGAGTCTGCATTGCTAGAGTGTTCCTTTAGTATCATAAGTATTACTAATAAGAAAAGGATATTTATCTCTTAGAAGGGCGGAAATATAATGCTGCTCATACATGTTTCGTTCTTCAACCTGAACCACGACCAAAATTGCAGCCCTGTACAGATCCATTCAGAAATATGGCATGGAACCAAAAGTATTAGAAGAACAGCAAATGAAAGTGAAAAGGAATTTTCTTTCTCCAAACTGACCTGGGATTGTTATACTCACTCCAACCTTTAGCCAAGGCCTCTGCAGATTGATCGACAGCATTGTTGGCAGGAACCCTATTGGGATCTAGTCCAAGGATATTTCCATATTGAGAAATTAAGCTCCTGGGAAAACACAAAATAATACCATGATACACATCAACGTGATAAATTTATCTTCAAATAAAAATCTACCACTAGAGTTCGGGTAAATAATTTCAAGATTCACAGACTATATGTTAATATTTTGTCTTCAAATACATCGATTTCTAACCACTTGAAACTTCAAATGTATTCCTAGACGTGTGTGTGTTTATCTTTATTGAGAACAAAAAATTACACATTTTCCTAAACAAACCCATAACAATGAAACAAAGACCTCAAAAACAAGAGATTATAAATTAGAGATGAAAGCCCAATAAGTGAAATTTACAGCAATTCCTTACTTATGAAGTCCAGTCATAAGACATCCAATCAAAGCAAATGAAGTGGAAATGGTGTTCATCTCTATTTGCAGAAGTGATTTAGTCTTATCATCAACCATATAATCCGAACGCATTATTGCCAAGCGTATATCCTATTAAAATTATGACAAGAGAAAAATCAATACCAGGAAAAATTCCCTTAACTACAAGTATTCTAGTAGTTTAAAAAGAATAATAATTAGAGTATGAACTAAAACTGTTTCTCTCTTAATAGTTTCGGTGGTACATATTTCATACCAACATACACTTACCTCTGTTTTGTTAATCTGTAGCATTTGGGAATGAATATCTAAAAGTCTGGAGGTAAATTCGTCTGCGTTCTTTGTTCTGCATTGACATGAGCAGATAATATTATATCTTATTAAAGGCAAAAATTAGACTGAGGTGAAAAAAGAATCCAGGCAGCTATAGGTAGTTACAAAATGTATGACGACAGAACAAAAGATTCCAAGCAAATATAGTACTCGTGGCATCAAATGAAGCAATTGTTGAAAGGTGAAGTTGAAAAAAGGATTCAAGAACCAATTGTCATAGTAAAGTATAAAAGTACTTCAAAAGGTTTATGAAAGTCCTATAAGAGTCTAAAAAAATTACTTAAGTTAAGAATTACATATTATTAAGAAAAAGATTGTGAGAGAATTGGTGTTGGATCTGCTTAACAACATTCCTTAGGACATTCGTTGCCTGAGCCACCTTTTCCTACTCAAAACCTTAATAAAAAAAGTTGTGGTTTTTTCTCCTTATATATTGTTTATTTTGTTTATTCCTAGCCAGTGTGAAGCTTCAATTCACACTTATTCGATTCCAACAATTGGGTCACGTAGGACCGAATTTAGACATTGCAGAACCA